TGGACTCTTGAAAGTGGGAAAGTTATGACATGTACTGTCTATCTCCTCCTTCCCATTACCCTTTTTTCTGCCGGCTAAACACTTCGGGTATGGCTGATGTCTTTCTTGTATGTTTCTTGTATGTATGTATAAATAAATAAGTTATAATATATGTAGTATTATTATTTTGTGTTAATAAAACTTTTGATACTAAACATGTTTTTATTGGAAAAAAATGCAGTATACTCATTTGCAGATGCCTGGAACACAACCTTATTTATTTCATAATAAAATGGATTCATTTTGTGCCAATTTTGTTTATGCCACCTCATCACCAATGTAAAATGAGGGCAGCCCATATTTGATAAAAGCATTAAAACATAAAACAAAATCAAGTATGATTCCAAATTTATTTTCTTTTTGTGAGGTTATTTTTTTATTACCAGATAAGTAAAGCATTACAATCAAAATACAAACTTTAAATGTATTAATTCAAACACTTTATGATTAAAATATGTAATAAATAATTTCTATACAGATTAACTAATATTAAAAGAGTTAAAACACCACTTGCTAGAGTAAAATGATATAATAAACACTTCAATCCGAAAGCTTTAAATTGTATTCCAGTGATGTTTTACTTTGAAATAAAAATTTTTCAACTAATATTTTCAGTCTGCAATTGGAGATCTTCTTCAGATTTGCATATTCAAAGATAGAATGATTGAATAGAAACAATGATGTTTTTTGAAAAATTAAATGAAATAAATTCTAAAAATATAAGAATTTTTACTAAGGCTTATTTAAGGCCTTTGGATTGAAATGTTTAATGGATCATTTGGAAGTATTTTTGGTATCCCAGTTAATGTGATTCTGGATAATGGAGGGTCTACTGTATATTAAAGGTCATATTTCTAGAACAAATATATAAAACTATATTCTATCAGGAGCAATAACAAGCAAAATACAAAGATATGTATCATAATAGTGGAATACACAGGAATTATATTTTTTGAAAGCTATAAAATGTTTAAATTAAACAAACATAAATGAAAAAATAATTAAAAATAGGCAAAAAATATGCACAAGTCTTACTTGAAATCCATTTAAATCTGTGAAGAACTCTTGATTATTATTGGTTATATTTGTATAAAATCTCATAATTAATTCTTTATTTACTTCACGGGTCACATCAACAATGTTATAGATATCCAATCCGGCACTATCTAATCCTAAATCCAAATATATATCAGAGATAACATTATCCTATTTTCCAAATATATTACTTAATATGAATACATAGAGAAATTTCTAAAATACCTGCAGTATTCTTAACTCTAATACGATGTTCTACTTCCGGTAGAAAAACTGTCACTTCGGACACAAGAGGACCTTTCAATATTCTAATTTTTGGACAACTGTATTTCAAATTCTGTTTAAAAAATATAAATTAATTTAAAGTATCATAGTATTTAAGTAGAACTCGGATAAAAATATTAAAAAACTGTTCAGAAAATAAATTTTATACCATTTCTTGTTCTCTCAAAGAATTTTAAATAATAATTTTATCAACTTTTAAGACGAAACCAATCATTGAACATACCTGTGCTGCAGCATCGGGCAAAAACAGATACGCTCCACTCCTGTCTTTACCTTTAGGTCTCGTTCCATACAAAAGAAACTGTATTCTGGCATCGATCGAAATTCCCTCTTTTAAAATGATTCTCTAAAAATTTTAAGAAACTTAGTAAAATTGAATTTACAGATAAATACACAGAAAAAAGTTTATTAACTTTACCCTCAGCATTCCATCTGCACCAGAGAAGACAGCTGTTATAGTGGAAGAACTAATCATAAATTCCTGAGGAGGCGTCAAGGACTGGATGGAAAATTTTCTAAGAAAATATTTTAAAATGTTACCATTTAATAACCATCATAAGAAACAAGATTATTTAAAATTTTATTTCTTTAAAAACAAAAATGAATTGTATTGTAAGCAATACTGGAAATGACTTGACAATAGGACTGAATAAATATAAATTTGAATGAAGAGAATTATTGAATCTGAAAGATGTAACAATAAAATATCTTGAATTAGACAAAAATGCCATTTCTTTTGTTTTAATCAATGTATAAAAAAAATTATTAAATATGGTAGAATCTGTTAATTAGCAGAGTCTAATGTATTTAATATTTCTTGTAATCAGTTTGGAACTTTTCTATTCTTATGATGATAACTGACCAACAACATTAAGCAAAGTAAATATTAATGACAATTAGGAGTAGCTTTGGTTTTATGGCTTAAACTTCAAAATTTATTAATTCTAATTATTATTAACAGTAATAAATGCCATTTTGAAGTATCGTACTGTGAGCAAATAATGATTAAAATGATTAGTGTTTCAAGCATCAGTCAAGACTNAAATGACTTGACAATAGGACTGAATAAATATAAATTTGAATGAAGAGAATTATTGAATCTGAAAGATGTAACAATAAAATATCTTGAATTAGACAAAAATGCCATTTCTTTTGTTTTAATCAATGTATAAAAAAAATTATTAAATATGGTAGAATCTGTTAATTAGCAGAGTCTAATGTATTTAATATTTCTTGTAATCAGTTTGGAACTTTTCTATTCTTATGATGATAACTGACCAACAACATTAAGCAAAGTAAATATTAATGACAATTAGGAGTAGCTTTGGTTTTATGGCTTAAACTTCAAAATTTATTAATTCTAATTATTATTAACAGTAATAAATGCCATTTTGAAGTATCGTACTGTGAGCAAATAATGATTAAAATGATTAGTGTTTCAAGCATCAGTCAAGACTGATAAATTAAAATGACTACATGTAATCAGTCAGGGTTTGAGTTTGACAGTGTGAAGAAACAACTTACAGCCTGTATGCAATAAACTTGCACCTCTAGTTCTCCTTTAAGTCACCTGCTAGCACCAAAATATTTAAAAGATTCCATATTTTATATGAACAGTGGACTCTTGAAAGTGGGAAAGTTATGACATGTAACATTACATTTCTAACTTCACCTTTAACATTTTTCCAATTTTTATTTGTGTTGACCTAAAATTTCTGATATTAGATGACAGTTAACAATATCCACCATTACAAGAAGCACATTGTATTGTATAATTGCAAAATATAAAACTTTAATACATAAAAAACAATGATCTTTCAGTTGGCTAAATATCCTTAAGCTTTATTCATCTCCATTTTGCGAGATTAATAAAACTTGATAATATTTAGAGATTGGCTAAGATAACAAGAATAAGAAAAGCTACTAAAAAAATTTTTAAATACAGCTTAAAGGAATGACAATTCTTTAGTATTCTACACTATAAAATACCATTTATGAAAAGGCAGAGGGTAAAACAGAATCCAGAAAACTATGGAAGTATAAAAAAACTACATCTTTAGTAATTAAAGAACAGTCACAATTTATGACATAGGCCAAAGCAGCACTAGACAGACAAATTTAGTATATATATTACAGGATAATACAAAGTTATTGAAAGAAATCTTTAGAATGGTACTATATTGTTCACTATCTGGTATACGAAACATCATTAACAGGGAGATACTTCCGTCTCTCCCTGTTACTCAGGTATTGATGTGAAAGGATGTTAAGCATTCATGCTACCACATATGAAGTATGAAGTAATTATAAATGTTAGATAACTAAAATATTATGTACTGTAGAATATTTTGTTCAAATATATATATATATATCAGAAAACAAGGGCATATACAAGGTTCCTACTCAAATTTTTGTTTTGAATTCCCTGATTTTCCCTGACCAACTTTGTCCAAATTCCCTAACCCTCACATTTCTTAGTATGGAATATCGACATAATAAAATAGCATTTACTATGAACATTGAGTACATCTACCCCTCTTTTTGCACATTTGATATGCTTCAAAGACTGCTACATTAAAAAAATACAGTACATACATCCTGTAGAAAAATGTTTGATAGAATCCACAACTTCAATGTAATGAAAAAATAAGCAATTTACAAACAAAACATGAGCTTTTTATTTTATCATCATTTATCATTATTATTTGTATATGAATCTAGTAAATACAAGGTAACATAAAATCAACAAATAGTAATCTATTCTTTGATAAACAAATAGTACTGTACTGTGCTTAAAATGAACTCTTGACTTAGAAACACGTAATTTTAAAATCAATCTTTCAACAAAAAGAGTAACTTTTTTTAAACAGCAACATAATTTTAACAAAAAGTTACATTTAAAAATTTTTAAATAAAGCATTTTTCCTACGTAAAAAATCGATGATTGTACATAAAGAGAAATAGGTGTAAGTTTATACTATAGCTTCTCTAATTTTTATTTTTTGACAAAATGGACAATCAAAATACAGAGAAACTTCTTAGTATTAATCCTCTTTTTTCAAAATACAGATCATTAGAAAATAAAAAATGAATTACAATTCACAAAACACAAAAACTATTATATTAACGTAGTTTTAGCCTTTTCTCCTCAAGTGTATTTATTTTCA